TATTTTGTGTATTTGGTGTAACAGAATATTTTTACATGCTTTAATGTTCAAAAAACACATTATTTTTCAAATACTGTACATTATTGTAGGTCCTCTATGCCCCGCCTCTCTCAAACGCTTCGTTTTCTACAAAGTCCCTCCTTCCGACAAGCGCAGTTTGAAATCGCATCATATGACCCCTTTAAAAATCCCATGCTGTTTAAAATGGCATTGCGTCCTGATCTCTGTAGCACCCCCTGGTGTCAGTGATGGCACAGAGCCAGGCTCAGGCAGTCCTGCTAGAGTTGTGTTCATGCTGGGCTCTCCTGAATATGGACACACACCTCCTCATGCCACTCGACCTAGACGCTTCTCAGGTGACACTTCCATTATTTTACTTTATGAAATTGAAACACAAGTATTATATTTGCATGTTATTGTATCTGTTATACTCGCAATGCATCTTCAATTCACCACATTTGCTGTTGAAGTGGGCACTCCCAGCCCAACAAGCCCTGGCTGGACCTACGGTCATGTGCACGAGGCTTACAGCTTGCCTGACAGTCTGCGATATGGTTACACAGATGCCATGGCAACAAACCTATGTGAGGGTGTGGCCTTTGTGCTACCTGAACTGCCAGAGGAGACGCTCATGGAGGTAAAATAATTGGGCTATACATTATGTATGAAGGATACAGTCATTTAGACAGTCAGCCAGATAGTTATCATCTTAAAATAAAGGATGACCAAGATGGTCTTGCATCATCCTGAAGGGGTTTATTTTTTTGATAATAACTGACATTATCTTTTATCAAATAAATAGTGACATATTAATGTGACATATTAATTTTTAGATTAATTAATTGTGTCATGTGAGAAGATGGAGATGATATGAGAGACATTAATCTAGCACAAATATGTAGAAAATCAATTGCAGGGGTTAGCGGTCAATTATACAGTCATTATGCAAAAACACACTACTGTTTAGGGTTGATAAGATGTCATGATTTTGAAATAGGTCTCTTATGCTCATCAAAACTGCATTTATTTGATCAAAAATACAGTAAAAGTGATAAAATTGTGAAATATCTTTAGTTTGAAATAACTGTTTTCTATCTGAATATATTTAAAATGTCATTTATTCCTGTGATGACAAAGCTGGATTTTCAGCATCATTACTCCAGTCTTCAGTGTCACATGATCCTTCAGAAATCATTCTAATATGATGATTTGCTGCTAAAAGAAACATTTCTTATTATTGACCATGTTAAAAACAGTTGAGCTGCTTAATATTTTTGTGGAATCTGTGATACATTTTTTTAAAGATTATGTGATTAAAGAATGTTTAAAAGAACACTTTTGTAACATTATAAATGTATTTACTGACATTTTTTATCTGTTTTAATGCATTATTGCTGAATAAAAGTACTAATTAATAATAAAAAAACAACAACTTCTGACCCCAAACTTTGGAAGTTGTAGTCTATATCAGTGGTTCCCAACCCTGGTCCTGGAGGCACCCCAACACTGCACGTTTTGCATGTCTCCTTAATCAAACACACCTGATTCAGGTCATCAGCTCATTAGTAGAGACTCCAAGACCTGAAACTGGTGCGTCAGAGAAAGGAGACATGCAAAATGTGCAGTGTTGAGGTGCCTCCAGGACCAGGGTTGGGAACCACTGGTCTATATGACCATAGAGTTTCATTATTGACCAATCAGAACTGAGTATACTAGAGAGCAAGTTATTTTACCTGGTATTATGTGTTTTGTTGAAAGTTAATTTCAGAATGTGATGTCTACCTCTTCTTCACCACAGGAGGGGCATACAGACTTGCTGAGCCAACTGCGCTTTATTTTAGCCTTTGCCCACTGCATCACAGAGGTCGCTGGAACAAAGGACTGTGGGATTGAAAGGAATATGGCACTTGATGCTTCTTTCTTAGAGCAGAGCGTGGTGGTGGCCGACCAAATCAGCCTGCTGAGCCGTGAGTGGAGGTGAGACACATACATAAACACACACACACACGTTTTTATGTGTGAAGTCTGTGATATGTACACTATACACTGTGAGTGATGTGCACATGTGTATGTAGCTCTGCAGAGCAGCTGGTCCTCTATATGAAGTGTGCTGAGCTGCTGTCCTCTGCGCTTCACACAGCGATGGCTGGGATCAAAGAAGGCACACTCTACCCATCAGGATCTGTTAAACAAGGCAAGTCATAGAAAGTTAGAAAACTAGAAACAGTCTTTATATAAAATAGAAATCTTTTGAACCATTGTAAATGTTGCATACGATCAATCAAAAATTGCATATACTGTAAGACATTCATTTTATGTCATGTTATGTACTTGCAGTAGTACGTAAGCTGAACGAGATGTATAAGAAGAGTGTGAACTCCTGCCGTTCTCTCACTGAGAAACTCCAGCTTTTCTTCAGCAGCAAACAAAGACTGATGGACCGCATCAACAGCATTACCGCTGAGAGACTCATCTACACACACACCATTCAGATGGTATGAACATATATGCATTGTGTTTCTTATAATATGAGGAGAAACATATGAGTATAATACGGAGTGTGAATTGCGTTACTTTCTTATGTGATCAGGTACAGACAGCAGCACTGGACGAGATGTTTCATCATGGAGAAACCTCTGTGGAGCGATACCATAAGGCCTTACTGCTGATGGAGGGTCTGTCCTTAATTATTACAGAGACTGCAGATCTAAACAATATCAACAAATGTAAGTATGACACGCATAGACTACCGTTCAAAAGTTTGGGGAAAGAAATTAATCCATGCATTAATATGATCAAAAGTGACATTCAAAAGACATTTATGATATTACAAAAGATTTCTATTTCAAATATAGATAGATAGATAGATAGATAGATAGATAGATAGATAGATAGTAGTGGCTGCTGAAAATTCAGCTTTTCTGTCACAGGAACAAATTTTAAAATATATTCAAATCTAAAACAGTTATTTTAAATTGTAAAAAATATTTATGACTCATCTCTGAGTTTGTCTGTCTGTTCTGTGTCTGTAGGTAAACAGTGTATTGAGCGGCGGCTCTCCTCCCTCCAGCCCAAAGGATGTGTGTGATGAACCCTTGTTGTTTTTGCTCTGCATCAAACCCACAACATCTACATCTCATTTCATCCCAGTCGCCATTTGAAATTCTGTAAGAGGAAAAACTCACACTCACCCACTCATTAAAAATGTGATACTTGGCTTCCAAAGCCCAAAAAAAAAGGTGAGAAAAGACTTTTCATAATAGACAGAGATTAAATCTCTATTGATATTTGTATATATAAACAAAAGCAACATCTGCAGACATAAACATCTATTTTGTTCACTGTAAAAGCATATTGAGTGAATCAAGACGGCATCATTGGTTGAATAGATGTCATGTTTAAATGCTTTGACCTCTGGATCTACACCAACGCATGATGGCACTTCCTCAGAGATTAATTTAATCTTAGCACTACAATGTTAAAGCCAGTGTTGGAGTCTGAATGAGTAACAGCTTGGATGCTTTTCATTCTATCGCACTAAAACATGCCTGTAGCATTAGTCTCATGAAGTTACATGGAATGATTCTGTTTTTGATGGACTTATTCTGCATGTTTTTGCATGATTCGGAGGAAATGATAGTTATCTGCTGTATCTGAAGGGAATTCATAATAATGACTTATAATTAAACCTCTGTGGTCACCAAACCGTTGTTGAAATAGCAGCCGGTGGTGGATGTGTACATTCAGTGTTACATCTCTAAGACTCTAATGTGGCAATTGACCAAAATTGTGGCAAACCTTTGTAGACCTATTGATAAAGACTGTCAGTTTCATATGTTGTCATATGAGGTTGGAAAAAAAATACTTGAGATTTGTATTATATTGACAATCATACTGTTATTCATGTGTGTGTGATACAGTGAAGCACTTTATAAACCCATTTGCCTTCTGGATGCCTGAAAAGAACCACTGCAGAGACAAGCCTAATGGCTCATTTCGGGTTAATTAACACCTGAAAGTCAAAGGAAATGCAATACAAAGACAGTCAGTATCTTGTGTGTAGCATTTTATATTTATCCGTTTTAGCTGTCAGTCTGAAAGTGGTTTTAGTTTGCAGTTTGCTTTAGAATCTATTGCAAGTAAAGGACTTTTGCACAGCTTGCTGGGATGACTAGGTCTTTAGTTTTGTAGTGATTTGATAGTGCCTTAAATGACCTAGCTTGTTTAATCTCACTGGACACTCAGAGAGTTACAATCTGTTATACTTCCAGCGTTTCATGTCATATTCATTACTTGCACTATTTTTTGCATTTTCCAATGGCAATAACTCTAAAGGTGTTTTTAACTTAAATGATAATACATTTAATTTCAAGGTTTTTTAGTCAGAATTGTGTAGAATGATTGATGAATGTGCACGAACATGGTAAATTGAGAACGATTGACTATTTGTATATGTTGTTGTTACAGTATTTATGTGTTTTCTGGTGTTTTTGTCGTTTTATTTCCATTCGCAAAGCCTAAATGAAATATATGTGCAGAATGCATGTGGTATGGGTGTGTGTAATTGAATAAAATTTCACTTTTATATTTACTTTGTGTATGTTGATTCGTTTCGAAATATGCTATGAAAAGTCTTGTCTTTAAACAGTTACTGGAATTGTGGGTCTAGAAATAACTAAAATTCAACTATTTGTTTTCCTGGTCAATCATGGTGAAAATGTTAAAAGATTTTACGTTGCCAATATTTTAAGGTATTAAAATGTGTGTTTTAGGGCTAATTCATATGGATAAATTACATATAATTTCGTCTAATTAATAAATTCTCATAATGCATGCGAAGTAGTAACTCATGGTGCAGCCAAAGAGTGCAGCGCTGCAAGAAAACGAAGGGAAGCAAAACCTGTGGTAGTCCCGCCCTCACACATACCTTGCGTTTCTTTCTCTGACGCGATTGGACAAAAGCCCGTCAGTCAAGTAAACGTCACGCTCTGAGTCGAGTGTTTCCGGGTATTCAGAGAAGAAAGAAAAAAAATCGGTCTATCGTCATGTTTCACAGAGAAATATCTGTCAAACGCCTATATCAGTTTAATTGAGCGTTGTGTTTGTGAGAGTGGAAACACGCAGGTGTTTTGTCACTTTGACTCTGAAGATAGAGCTACAGTGGATGGTCGGAGCGCGGGACGGTGATTTTACAGTAAGTGGCGTGTGTTGATGTTTGTGTTTAGCGGGCGAGCTAATGCTCTGCGAGCGGAAACTCAATATTCTTCTCTGTATGTTCGCATAACCTACACCACTACATATACTTAAAGAATACACACACGTATGTTAAACGTGTTCTCACTGGATAAGAGGAGCTAGGTGTCGATAAGCGGAGAGTGGGTGGGTTTGTTAGCAGTAGCAGGCTGTGGCTCACTATGTCAGTCAGCCTTTAGAGCAGAGAGGGCTTTACTAATAGTAAACACCGTGTTGTCAATTCCACAGTGGGGGTTATTCCTTTCTAAAAGGTAATAAGGTTACTGCGTCCCCTCCGAAGATACCATAATTACTAGTGTAAAACCTTAAAAAGATAACAGCGTCTGATTCAAACAGTAACTTGGGAATCTGTCAGAGGTTTTTCTATTACGTTGTTTCATTTTTTGTTGACAGTGGCAAAATATACTTTTAATGTAATAACAGCAGCTGTAGTAATTGTAATTTTTTTAGCTAAAGCCTTTGTTACCATGGTGAATTTCTGTGAGAGGTGGAATAGATGACAGGCAATAGCTAATCGATACAGTATTGGTTGTACTGAACGGTCACGTCATTGTTTAAAAACAGCTTTACACAAAATCTTGATGTTAATGTTTATAATATTTTAATATATTCACGCCTTGTAGTCGCATTTAGAAGATTTGTGCAGGCGATAATATATTTACATTTTGCGACAATATAAACAATCAAAAATTAAATTGTCAGTATACTGTATGTATAGATATTTGTTTTACATTGATTTGTGAATATTGTGACTTTGTTGCTTTAGATTGGAATAGATTTGCGTAGAACCCTTGTCCTTATAATAAGTCCAGTGCCTTGCGAAAGTATTCTTACCCCTTCATTTTTTTCACGTTTTGTTATGTTGCTGCCTTATGTTAAACTGCTTTAAATTACGTTTTTTTCCACATCAATCTACACTCCATACACCATAATGGTAAAGCAAAAAAAAAGTTTTTTTTAACATATTTGCAAATTTATTAAAAATAAAAATTTAGTTGAAATTTAGCTCAGGAGCATTCCTATTAGGGCTGCACAATAAATTGAAATGGAATCAAGATCGCGATTCGACAGAAGCTGCGATTGTCATGCGTATCTTTCAGTGAAGCACGGTTCTGTGATCAGCAGTAAATCTCCATCCAAAGGCCAGAGGGTGCTCTCGCGCTGAAACTCCAAATACGCCTCGCAGAAGAAACCCAGATAACTGCAGCTGAATAAACAGATGTGGCAATAATTAAGACCAAACTGAATATGGTGTGTTTATGGTGCAATGAATCGCCTGTGATTTTGAACGCGATATTGCGTAGCTTGTCAGTGAACTATGGCTCTGTGTAGTAAATGCCGCTCCATCTGAACGCACGTGCTGGAAAAATCTCATTAGATTATTTGCACAGCCCTAGCTCCATGATCATATATGCAGATGGGAGAAATCTACAGAAGGACAAACATCACTGCAACACTCCACCGATCTGGGCTTTATGGCGGTGTGGCCTAACTCAATCCTCTCTTCAGTTAAGACACATAAAAACACACTTGAAATTTGCAAAACAGCACCTAAAGGACCCTCAGACTCTGAGAAACAAGATTATCTGGTCTGATGAAACTCAATTCTAAGCATGATGTTTGAAGGAAACCAGCTCTGCTCGTCACCTGCAGAGTACCATCCCAAAAGTAAAGTGTGCTGGTAGCGGGGCTGTTTTTCAGCAGCAGGGACTGAAGGAATCGTCAGAGTAGAAGATAAGCTCAGTGCACCAAAATATTGAGTTGGCCTTAATGAAAACCTAATCCAGAGCATTCAGAACCTCAGACTGGGCAGAAAGTTCACCTTCCAACAGGACAATGACCCTAAGCACACAACATGAGTGGCTTATAGACAACTCTGTGAATGTCCTTGAGTGGCCGAGCCTGAGCTTGAACCCAATCAAATATTTCTGGAGAACCTGAAAATGTGCATCTGCCCCCATCCAACCTGACAGAGCTTGAGAGGTGAAGAGGTGAGGAGAAGAATGGCAGATAATTGCCAAATGCTGATGAGAAAAGCTTGTCGCATCAAACAAAAAAGACTTGAGGCTGTAAAGGTGCTTCAGCTAAATATTTAGTTAAGGGTATGAATACTTATGCAATGTACTTATTGCAGTTTTTTTTTTATTTTTAATAAATTTACAAAGTTGTGACAATTCTGTTTTTGCTTTGTCAATATGGTGTATGGAGTGTAGATTGATGTGAAAAAAAGTAATTTAAAGCAGTTTAATATAAGGCAGCAACATAAATAAACATGAAAAAAATGAAGGGGTATGAATACTTTCGCAAGGCACTGTACACATCGCCTTGGATGAGTGATAGATTTAGTAGATTAAAACAATTATTTTCAATAGCTGATAATGATATTTAGACATCAATATTTAGATTTTTGAACAAAAGTATTTAATTAAAATTAATTTTTTTTTAATGTATTGACAAGGCTGTTTGTAGATTTCATAACTGACACAAGGAGGTAATATTATTACATGTTTATTTACATAAACATATTTATGTTTGCAGTTTTATTACATGGTCATTATAATCGGCCGACTTTTGGCATTTTTTAATTAAACGGCATCGGCCGATTAGAATTGATGCCGGAAAGTTATCATATTCATAAGTTCAACAAGTCGTTTGCATGTGAAAGTAGAAACACGTTCAATTCAGACAAAACTTCTGGGCTGATTATAACGTGCATGTTAACTTTCCTCATGAAATGTGTCTGTGGGTCCGACAATAGCCTCCACGATGTCATATATTCGCTCGTGGCCAGCGCACTCTTAAGCAGTTATGAGCAGCAGGCAGTGCAATATGTGTGAAATCTTTTATTTTTGTTATCACTATGGCCATTTGACTTACAGCAGTGTCCAGTGTTTCCTATACATTGAGTTATTTGTGGCGGCTCATCACAATATCAAAACTGACCGCCAACAAAATGGTTTTCCAAAAGGCTTATACTTCGTTGAATAAAATGAGCGCTTCACATTTCAAAATTAAAATGTAGCGCGGGTGTTTTTATATGAATGTATCTTTGAAAAGAACCGACTGTCTTCAGAAAAGCTTCGATGTCATTTTCATTTCGTCTTTCCTGTATTGCCTGATGAGCAGCGCTTATTTGATTACAGCCTTTACTGGGGAAACCGCTATATCTCCAGCTCCCAAAGTGCCTCCTACTGTCAGAGAATTCATTTGCAGTCTGTGGGAAACACTGGCGTCTGTCAGCAAACATAAACAAAAAGCATCCTTCAGAACTGTTTTGAGAAGGTGCTTAAGTTTTGAGCCATGTATTATTACTCTAAATTGGGCTACTACTACCATTACTATCTTGTACCCTGCAATAATCATTTGCTCAAACTCACTTTTATGAGATGAATGGGGGAAAAAAAAGAAAATCGGCCAAACAAATCGGCATCATATATCGGCCGTCGGCTGCCCTGATTTCTAAATATCGGCATCGGCCAGTGAAAAACCCATATCGGTCGACCTCTATATATATATATGAGGATGAAAATCTTTCATGCATCAAAAAGTTCATAAAGACATTGTAAAAGTAATCCATAGTAATTTGAAGAGGCAGTCGCTTTATAATGATGAATTGATTTACTTACAGCTTTTATTCAGATATAAACATTGATCAACGCATAGCATATACATAGAGCACATCAAATATGGTAAACAGAAGCATGCTTGCATGACGTGTGAGAGCAAACCTCATTGTTTCTTAGGCGTCCATCATACCATATTTAAATAACGTTTTGGAACAGTGGACTTTCAATGGAGCTACAGAAGTCTCTCAGGTTTCATTAAAAATATCTTCATTTGTGTTTTGAAGATCTGAAAAAAAGTTATTCCGGTTTGAAATGACATAAGAGGTAAATTAATTTTCGTTTTGTGCACATTATTCCTTTAATTGGCCTGAGCTATATATTGGTCTGTCTCCACAAATTATTAAAGGGGTCCTATTATGCTTTTTCACTTTTTTAATTTTAGTCAGTGTGTAGTGTGTATGTTTGGGCATTAAAAAGATCTAGAAAGTTACAAATCTCAAAATCCACTCCAAAGGGAGATATTTCGTTTTTTTAAAAATCCCTTTTCAAGAACTACAACGAACGACTCGTTTGGACTACAGCATTTGTTTTCCGGGCTTTGTGATCTGTAAGTGCCCTGCGAAGTGGACATTACCGGATATTCCTCTTTGAAGGAAGCGTATATGTTCCATACAAAGGGCATTTAAGTGTGCGAGACGTGAATTTAAATTGTATTTATTTACAGAGGTAACGTTATATTATGTCCCACTTCACGCTTCTCTAGTAAGTTTCGTTTGTGTGTGAAGACGCTGCAGGCAGCGGCGCAGCGCAAATCTGTAAATGAATATTCCGAAGTGAAGTAAACTTCAACGGATTTCCCCTGCTCCGGGAGTAGGGAGCAATGGACACTGTGTCGGGACCATGTCAATCGGAACACAGTTCATGCACGGAGCTCACTTCTAACGAGATGATCTGAATCAGGTGTGTTAACAAAGAGAGACATGCAAAACATGCAGAGCAGGGGTACGCGAGGACTGGAATTGAGAACCGCTGGTCTAGAGCAATTCTTACAAGTATAACACGACGTAACGTTAGCTGGGCGCCACGGACAGACGCCGAACGGCGCCGCCGGTGTGCGTACACTCATAGAAAATAATGTATTTGAATTTTAAAGACGTGGCGCGACGCTGCGCTTCTCGTCCGGTCCGGTGTGCGACCGCATGAAACGCTGTTTTTTTCACCTCCGTGCCCAAACGTCTTTGTTTGGGCTTCCGAAAGCGGATGATGTCAGGAAACAGTGGTTGCAATTTACTTTTTAACTCTGTTCCTGAGCATTATAACCCCAATTTGCTATTGTGTGCTGCGCATTTTACTGAGGACAGCTTCCACAACACGAATGAGTAACAGTCAGTGTTGCCAACTGCTTTCAACTGAACGTAGCTAAAACTGGTAGCTAAATGTCACTAGATGACATCACAATGGCAAATTCACTGATCTATATAAAGATGAACGTAGATCAGTGGGCAAGATGAGAACTTAGATAAGGTTTGTCCAAGCAGTTGCTATATTTGTCCCTAAACTTTTGAAAAAAGTCTCAAAAGGGGCGGAAAAGTCACTAAATCTAGCTACAAGGGATGCGCCGATCCGATATTCATATCGGGTATCGGCTCCGATAGTGCCATTTTTCTCGGATCGGGTATCGGTCAGAGAGGGCCGATCTAAATCCGAAAAAAAATGTTTTTTCGATTGTGCGAATTATTCTGTGTTACTTCTGAAGCCATATGATAGTAATGAAGTAGTCTGTATCTAGTAGATTGTAAAAGAATGATTATCATTTCCACACACAGAGATATATAAATTCTACATTTATTTAAATGAGGGAAAAAAACTTCACTGGTATCGGATCGGTATCGGTATCGGCCAATACTGAACCCTAGGTATCGGAATCGGTATCGGAGGCGGAAAAGGCAGATCGGAGCATCCCTAGACAAAGTAGCTAAATTGGCAACACTGGTAACAGTGCCGGATTCCAAAAGCTTTTGTTGAAAGATGGAGCAAGGGGCGTGGCAGTATGAACACCGTCTAAGCTGTTCGCCAATCACAACGCACTGGGACAGCTAACCAATCACAACACATTTTGTTTTTCGGAAGGCGGACCTTCATCAAAGCCGGAACTAATCAAGCCGTTTGTGCCAGGCTGGGGAGAAAGGTATTTTAATAATGTAAATTATGTGAAAAATAATGCGTTTTTCGAACCACCAAGCATGAGAGCATGTTCTAGTACACTCCCAAAACAAAATCAAGACTTTGTAAAAGAGCATAATAGGACCCCTTTAATGACTTTTTCCATGGAGGTTTAGTATGAATTTCTATATCTTTGTCTAACCGAAATATATTTGGATGGTAGAAATATTGCACTGTTGTCTCCCCACAGAGTGTCTTTTAATACAGTTGAAGTGGCACGCAATGCACCATGGAGGAGGCCCACCAAAAGTGCAGAGGAACCTTCAGAGATCCAAGTCCTTCACTGGATCTGAGGCAGAAGACCAACAGCAGCAGCAACAACCACCACAGCAGCCCAAACAAAAACAGCAGCAGCCCATGCCGGTTACCCAACAACAGCCAGCAAATGCCAATCACCCCCAGTCACCGGTGACATCTTTTGCTCCGTCCGCCAGTCCCTCTGCTCCACAGTCTCCCAATTACCAAATCATCATGAGTCGGAGTCCGGTCACAGGCCAGAACATGAACATCACTTTACAGAACGTGGGACCAATGGTTCCTGGGAGCCAGCAGATCACCCTTGCCTCTCTTCCTCTCCAGAGCCCAGCATCCCCTGGCTTTCAGCACCAGCCCCAGCAGTGGAGGTTCGAATCCGGGTCTTCGTCTTACGTGATGACATCACCCTTGCCCCAGACAATGCAACCTCAAAGTCCGACCCAGCACAGTCCGGTCCCCATACAGGCTGTGCCCAGGCCGAGTGCTCCTGGGTCGGCTCTGGGAGTGTGCGGTCAGAGCCCGACGCGGTTTGTGGAAGGAGGTATAATGGTTAGGCAAATCAACTTGAGCAGCCCACCTGGAAGTGGTCATTTTGTGTACCAGGATGGAACAGGATTGGCTCAACTGGCTCCGACAACGGCAGGTGCCGCTCAGCTGACCTCACCTGGGACACCAGGGGCTGTCAGAGAAAGACGCCTGTCCCAGCCGCACTCTCAAACCGGGGGCACCATTCACCATTTGGGGCCGCAGAGCCCTGTTGCAGCAGGAGCTGCTCTCCCGACGTTGGGCAGCCCTGGGCACATCACCACCTCCAATCTGCCTCCTCAGATCAGTAGTATCATCCAAGGCCAATTAGCTCGTCCCATGATTTTTGAGAAGACGGCGCAAGGCGTTGTGGCTGGTGTAGCGGCCTCTTTTGGGGTCACATCCACCATCCCTCCACCCAGCCCATCCAGGAGCAACCCTCCCCAGGGCCTCACCAACCAGTCCCTGACTCCCACCAGCATGAAGAAGATGCAGCCGAAGAAGCTGGAGGAGATTGCACCCTCAAATCCAGAAGTGGCGCAGTTGAGGAAGCAGTGTCTGGAGCATCATGCAAAGAAGATGGAGAGTCTGAAGGAGGTGTTCAAGGATTACCTGATTGAGCTCTTTTTCCTGCAGCATCTGCAAGGAAACATGATGGACTACATTGCTTTCAAGAAAAAGGCCTGTGTGCCTCTCTTCACCTACCTGAGGCAAAATGATCTTGACCTTGAAGATGAAGAGGAGGAGGAAGAGCAGTCTGAGGTCATCAATGATGAGGTAAAATATGTGTTTGGCTCTAACCTACAATATGTTTTCAAATATGCCAAAGTTACATTTTCAGCAGCCGTAATAGCGGTCTTCAGTGTCACATGACCCTTCATAAATCATTATAATTTGCAAATTTGCTGCTCAAGGAAAACATTTCTTATTATCAGTGTTGAAATCAGATGTGCTGCTTCATATTTTTTTAGGGTTATTTTGATCATTTTTTTTATTTATGAATAAAAATATAAATCTTAATATATATATGTGTGTGTATAAAAGTGTGTGTATATATATATATATATATATATATATATAATATATATATATATATATATATATATATATATATACATACATACATCTCTTTACTGTCACCTTTTATAAATTTGCATCCTTGGTGAATAAAATTATTAATTAGTATTAAAAGTATTGATTTCTTTCAAATTCTTTAAAATCCCCCCCATAAAAAAAATCTAAATATATATCAATTCAGAAATGAATATATTTTTAAGTGATTAGATCTAATCATCATGTGATGTCTTTGTGATCCATGAAACAATTTTTTTTTGTATGGAACTCTTGCTCTCTTTTTCATTTGTAAATATCAAGATGTATTTTTCTCTGGCTTTGTATCTTTCATCTGTTTCTATGACAACCTCTCAGGTGAAAGTAGTGACTGGAAAGGATGGACAGACGGTGACTCCTGTTGCTATAGCTACACAACTCCCACCCAACGTGTCTGCAGCGTTCTCTGCTCAGCAGCAGTTCCAGGTGATGGAGGCTTCCTTAGTAGAAATGTGAAGGAGGAATCATTCAAAACATTTCCAAAATGTTAACATTCAGTATGATAGTGCTTTCATTATGTGGTTTGACAGAATTGTGACCTTAGTCATAATCAGGCAAGCTTTAGTTAAGGTCACCAGTACTGTTTTTGCTGTGTGTGTGAATGAGACTTTCACTTTGGTTTGTTTTCGGTCTCATAGACCCATGCCGGGGTGGCAGGTGGCAGCATCTCGAACCCTGTGGACATGGAGGCTTTCAAACGGCAGCAGGCCATGGCACAAGCAGGTAGGGTGACGTCAACGCAGGGCAAAGGTGGAAGCCTGTTTTGTTTTCATTTGTTTCTTTATTCCCCCTTTTGTTTTCTGCTTTACTGTTTGCTGCTCTTCCTTTTTATTTCTCCCCTTCCAATTCGCTTCTGCTTACTCAGTATTCCAGCATCTTTTCCCAGCTCTGTGTTTGAAGCCTGTAATCCAGAAAACGGGGAGCGGAGCTTCCCAACAGCTACCTGCTGGTGTGCAAACATCATTGCCATGTTTCAAGTGTTATTTCTCCTTCTTTTGGTTTTTCCTGTTCTATATCTGATTTTTTTGGGAGGGAGTTTTTTTTTTTTTTTGCGTTTTGAGGGTATTGTGTGTTTTGCATCCCAGATCAGGCTAAGAGGTCCCGGATGGAAGTGGGTCGGCATGGGATGATATTCCAGCACCCCGCTGTAACTCCTTTAGGATCTCCCGGCGTTCCCCTCCAGCAGCTCATGCCAACAGCGCAAGGTAGGAGTGCCGTTGCGTCTCGGGACAGATCCGCTCTTGTTACCATTATTCAATGCTGCTGGAGGTCAGAGTTCATTCCAGAGTTCCCAAAGTTGATCCCACCTTTTTTTCCAAGCATCATCTACCAGTTGTGATCCACTTGTTGGGACTCCGTTCAGACATGGCCCTCATTTAAAATCTTTCTCTAAGCATCAGAGGGACAGCTGGGCAGAAGATACAGCTGAAGATCAATTTGGAAGACATCACATTTTTTTTCCATTTATGATTTGCTCATTAGTTCCTTGAACCATTCACCTCAATCAGTTTACGTTCTTCTTTGCCATATTGGCATCTCTGATTCCATCCAAGGCTCATCAGATGATGAGCCCCAAGCTGTCTACTGGGATGTCCTATTTCACATAGTGTTTGTTTTGCGTTTAGTTCTGCGGTTTTATAGTTGACATCTCCTTTCCTGATCCTACAAAGCTCCTCCTTCACTTCCCTAAATTCACTGCATTGTCAACTTGGAATCTAAATGCATTTTCGGTCTTGGTTCCCTTTTCGTTTCTCCTCGTTTTATGGTCACCATGTTTTCAGTTCCCACCCTCATCTTCGGTTTCCATAGCATTGCTTCATGACCTGATGGTGAGGAGCCGAAAGTGGCGCTCAGGAAAGGCCTTATAATCAAGCAGATTAACCTCAGAAAGCTTCGGAGCTGACAAATTGACGTAGTTGGTTATTTAGCTCATGATGAAATGCTAAAAGAGGGAGATACTTAGCGTTTACAGCTGGGCTTTACCTTCTTCTGTGCTAAACTTCCCTTGTCATTCCTCTGCTATACCCTCTGCTTTGCTGTTGTGTGGCTCGAGTATTAACACAGATGTTCCAGACATTACCTGCTTCGTGCATGTTCATGAAGTGTGTCAGTGCTTCAGTCGTGTCCATTACCTTTCTGTGCCTTTTTTTTCTTTCGAGTTCTTCTCCTGTTTTTGTTTTATTTGGTTTCTTTTTTATATCTAGACTTTTCCACTTATGGATAGTTCAATGGTAATGCATGATTAGTTTTGTTCTTCATAGTAGTATTCTTAAGCATTGAACTAAATATTTTGATTTTCACATTTACGAGTTCTAATTTTCATTCATTAGAACATGTATATCTTTCTTGATTTTTGTTATGTAGTCATTGTGACACGAACGGTATTTTTCATTAATGTTCCCTTTTCTCCAGCATTGTGTAACACATTGCTGGTAATTCATAACATCATATCCATAAAAACAAAAGAAGTTTAGTTGAAACACAAATGGGTAAAGTCGTGTCTGAGTTCGATTGCACCCCACAATCAAAATAGATGTTTAGATCCGTAAAGAATGCAGCACTGTTTTCGTGACAATAAAACATCTTAATTACTGTACTATATTGTACTGTATTACAGTGATTTATTTTAAATTCTGTAATATTTTTTTCCAGTACAAATTGTTGGCAGTTTTACATTTTACATTAACAAAAATGTGTAAATATTTTAAAGTGTTATATAAGATAATAAATTACATTCAAGTTACTGTATAAAGTCTTTTTATAATAATAATTATAAAATAAATATTATCTAACATCAAGGTAATGAGAATTGGAGAGACATGGTTTTAATTGTCATACAAATAATGTTTCAGTTAAAATTATTTTACTAATCTTAAGTATAATTTCTTATTTCTTCTGAATTGCAGGTGAACTATGACTCACACGTGTTCTTTTCATTTTATCCAAATACAAGAAAAATGACATCAGATATCAAGAGTTATTTAAAGTGTCAAATACAACATTTTGGCCTTTCAGTATGGGCCTTTAGGGTGCTTATAAAAATATTTATAACAAAAAAAATGACAGAGAATGCAGTCTGGTGGTCTCTAGACAGACATGAGCTAAGACAATATATTGTGTTTCCAATTCTTCATTTTCTCCTTCTATGGAACTCTTCTTTGCTCTCCATTTCCCTCTATCTTTCTCTTTCCTCTCTCTGTTCCGTTTCCTTCATCTTGCCCCCCAATAACAGGAGGCATGCCCCCGACTCCACAAACGGTCCAGATTGGTGGGCAGAAACAGAACCAGCAACAGTACGACCCGTCCAAAGGTCCCCCGGTCCAGAACGCCGCCAGCCTCCACACGCCACCCCCACAGCTTCCAGGCCGCCTCCCCCAGGGTGGGCTCCCTATGGCTGGCCTGCCTCTCTCCCTGTCCCAGGGCCAGGCCATGGTGGTGGACCAGCAGGCTCCAGTGGCTGGTGGTCGGCTCCAGGTGAAGGTGCAGGGTGCCGGAGCCGTGCTGGCTCCAGTCAACCCACATGCGCAGCTGCAGGCACAGCTTCAGCAGATGAAGTCAGGACTCCACCTACAGATGCAGCAGCAACAGCAGATGCAGCAGTCGGTCATGCAGCCTGGACAGGCAGTGAGTATGCTATAAGACATTTAGGACTATGCCACAGAAAACCACATTGAAAAGTTTGTCTTCCTTGTTTAATAAAAGCTTGTTCTGCTTATGATGGTAGTAATAAAAGTATGTTAAGATGGGCACATTTCTAGCTTTTCTCTTGCTTTTGGACTGTCTTGCTTCGGAGAATGAAAATTATTTATATACTGTTGCAATAAACACACTGGGCAATATAGATAAAATAATATTGCTTGATATTTACAGAAGAAAAAACAGTAAAACTATAAAATCTTAAATAATCAAAGCATGTTTTCCAAACTTTTCACTAAATTAAAAAGAAGGGGGGAAAAACATTTAGCAAAATTGCCACACAGAGGCTTGCAAATGAACAGTTGAGTTTGATTGATATTTTCACTTTGTGTTAAGTGTCTTCTCCCACCGAGGAAAATTTAAAAACATTTATTGCTGTGACCTTATCTTATAAAGGTTTTTTATTAAATATACGTAAAAAAATAAGTTTAGCCAAATTATTTAGTTGTATACACTACAGCAAAAACACAGAACTAAACACTTTTCATTTATTCATATTTTTACCAAAACATTTGTACATAAATACAGGTGCATCTCAATAAATTAGAATGTCGTGGAAAAGTTCATTTATTTCAGTAATTCAACTCAAATTGTGAAACTCGTGTATTAAATAAATTCAATGCACACAGACTGAAGTAGTTTAAGTCTTTGGTTCTTTTAATTGTGATGATTTTGGCTCACATTTAACAAAAACCCACCAATTCGCTATCTCAACAAATTAGAATACTTCATAAGACCAATAAAAAAAAACATTTTTAGTGAATTGTTGGCCTTCTGGAAAGTATGTTCATTTACTGTACATGTACTCAATACTTGGTAGGGGCTCCTTTTGCTTTAATTACTGCCTCAATTCGGCGTGGCATGGAGGTGATCAGAACTTTTCCACGACATTCCAATTTATTGAGATGCACCTGTAAATGCCACATTTGAGGGATGATGCAAATGAACAGTTGAATTGTGAACTAACTGGGTGGTTTCAACTAATTTACGAAAAATTAATCAAACTCTAAAGTCATTTTTGCTGCTGATGTTTTAATCAGAGAATCTATTAAAAAATCTGCTGTATAGGAAGAATCAAACATTTTTTCTGATGAAACTCTCTTTAGGAAACATAATAGGCAAATAAAAAGTGCAATAAATTCATTACTTTGTATCAACAGCAAAATCATTATGACTATATCATGAATATTCAATATATTGCACAGCCCTACTCGCAACAATAGATTTTGTTACAGTTCATCCTCTCTCTCTTTTTCAGACTGTGGCACTTGTGCGTCCTGGATCAGATTCTTCCCAGCCTGCCCAGCGTTTGCTGTCCAACTCTCTCTCCAACCCTGCCATGTCTCCTGTTCCTCTAACATCCCCGTCCTCTCTCTCCTCCCCACACCCTTCTGTTCCGGTCCGCACCCCCAGTACTGGCCCCAGCCTCTCTCCTGCTGCCCAGTCCAAACTCACTACCACGAATGGCACCACCGGGCTGAAAATGTCCGGTCTGGGTCAGAGTCCAGTTGGGCAGAACTCACAGGAATGCTCTCAGGACAAGCAATCAGAACAAGCCAAGCTGGTGAGAACTCTCAGATTAGAAGAAGATCTTTCTAGTATGCATTAAAGTAGCACATTTTGTATATGTTGCCTATATTATCTCACACAAGAGTGTAACGTGTCATTGTAGGAGAGTCATGTGCACCAGCGCATTGCAGAGCTCCGTAAAGAAGGCCAGTGGTCAGCTAGCCGTTTACCCAAGCTGCAGGAGGCCTGCAGGCCCAAATCCCACTGGGACTACCTGCTGGAGGAGATGCAGTGGATGGCTGCTGACTTTGCCCAGGAAAGGCGCTGGAAGATGGCTGCTGCCAAGAAAGTGAGAAGACTCCCACTCAGTCTGTGATATTAGAAACTGATTATATGTACATTAGATGTAAATATATGATTATATGTACAGCCGATGTAGAGGTCAGATGTAACCTCAATGTTTTGACCACATGATCTAGTGCCAGTGTCCGTTCAATATGGAGCAGGCTAAAATTCAACTCCGATTTTAAGTTAAACAATCTCTCTCTCTGCAGCTTGTGCGCACATGTGCACGTTACCATGTTGAACAGAAGAAGATGGAGGAACGTGAGAAGAGGGAGGAGGAGATGAGGCTGCGGCACATTGCCAGCACCATCGCCCGCGGGGTTGACTGCTTCTGGTCCAATATTGAACAGGTACATTTACATGTCATTTATACCAATATTATTTTAGTATTATAATATTATTTATCATAATACTATTTATTAATACCTGAGTTGGATTTTATTATATATTTTATTCTAGTTTTAGTAATTTTAGTACTTTAACTTAAACTCATTTTAGTTACTTGCCAAGGCAACATTAATTTTAAATTTTGTATTTTTTTTTTCAAATCAAATTTTTTTCTCCCTTTTTTTTTTATTTTTACGTCTTATGTTGACATTTTATTTCAGCTTTATTTCAGTTAACAAAAACTATATTTCATAGTTTTTAACTTTAGTTTTAGTTAGCAATAACAACACTGACTTATACTTTAGTACTGGAACTAGAGCCCGACCGATATATCGTTTTGCCGATATTATCGGCCGATATGAACCTGTCGCCGATATATCGGTATCGGCGAATATGCCGCCGATATGGAAATTTTTTTTACAGAACATATAATGCAGATAAAATGCTTGAAATGGTGTAATTACTTAGTTTGTCCAGCAGAGCGCGCTCCATTGTTTGCTACTGGCGACCTGGATGAAACGCTTTAAAGCTGAAGTCTATGGAAAACCATTGAAACTTTGAACGGCCATATCTCCGTAACGGCGTGGTGAATCCGCACCAAATTCTTGGGGATCTCTTCAGCTCAAGGAACCCTCTTGAATGCGAATCGAGTGTACGTCTCGAGGCCCTCTTTCGAATGAAACCACCCCCACGTGGATAGCCCCCGGGGTTCGGGAGTTACGGGTGGTTAAATTTGCGGTTCGGCGCCGACCAATCTAGCGATCCCGGGGGGCTACCGACGCAATATCGGTATCGGTATCGGCCCCAAAAAAATCCATATCGGTCGGGCTCTAACTGGAACAAAACTAAAAAAAAAAAAAAATCAAGATGCTTAGAAACCTCAGGCATTCACATGTGTTTGGGTTCATTAATGCATCATGTTTATTATAAATTAGTATTCTCATTTAGACAAAATCTCACTGTGACAAATGCTATTCCACTGTATGTGAAGGTTTGTATTAGTTACTCATAAAGAGTTTTTTTTTTCTCTGTCTTACCACAGGTTGTAGAAATCAAGCTGCATTTTGAGATCTATGACAAACGACAAAAAGTTCTTAGCTTGCAGAAGGCTGTGAGTAAAGGTGAGATTAATTAATGTTATCTGACCTGTCTTAACTAAATGTTCAGACTTAGTTTATTAATTCAGAAGAGACTTTGTATTGCTACAGGCAAGTGTGCTAAAGTGACCCAGTCATCTGGAGAGAAGTCAGATAAAGAGAGTAAAGGGGTAAGAGCTTCTCCATGAGTTCCCCAAGATCCTTCCTCATCGCTGCTTCATTCATCCTTTGATTGTACTTGACAATTTGTCTTCCCTTTTTTCCCTTTCAGCAGGAGACTGGCCCATCCCGCAAGAGAAAGTCAAGCACCTCGCTGTCGGATGTAGAGGGTACATAGTGCATTTATACATAGTTTCCTTACCGTTCTCTGTGTGCATGTTGCTGATTGATCTAATGTTGTTTTGCAGTTGAAGATGAGGAAAGTACAATAGAGGAGCAGGAGGCCATGGAGGTGGCAGCTGATCAGAAAGCAGAGCTGGCCGAACTAACAAAAGAAGGTAAGTTTTACGTCTTAAACTTATGGGCATGTCTTTAAACAGTAATACATTTTGTGCACAGGCTAATAATTAATTTCATAGCGTTTTCAGTATGGTTTCAGTATGCAGAATTTTTGGTTATTTATAATTCTGCATTACAGCAGCCATTAGCCACTGAAAACTCATATAGCAGAGCAACTGTTATAAACTGTGTGTTTGTGTCTTGTAGCTGAAGTGCCATTGGATGATCTGGTGAAGAAGTACACTGGTGCTTACGCAGAGGGCTTTGAGTGGCCGCAGCCTTCCAGCCAGAGCGAAGATGAAGACAGAGAGGAAGCTGAAGGTTTGTGTATGTCTACTGCTTCAGAACTAACTTTAGAGCCCCATAAAATCCCAGAAATACAAAAGAATTTAAATAAATCAGTACTTTTGGCAGTATATTTATTTGATGTCACAGTAGGGCTGCCCCCTAATAGTCGACTAACCGTTAGTTGAAGAGAAGAAGCTTGGTCAACCAAAATTTTATTAATCGGTTAGTCACAGAAGAAAAGAAAAATCCACAGGCGAAGTCACGCAGTTCGTGACGGACAGATCGTTAACAGCTTCAGGGATGTGATTTCCGTATTTTCCGACCTCTGAGGGATGACCCATGTGATTCGCGTTAATCCGAGTTTTTTTGTGTGTGTGTGTGTGTGTGTGTGTGTGTGTGTGTGTGTGTGTGTGTGTAGGGGGGGGGGGGGTGTTACTGCATGATGATTGAAATTGCGCAAATATTTAAGCAATTACCTAAATAAACTGCCAAAAGATTTTCTAAAACATCATGGACGGAATGGTCCTGAGAGCGCTGCACATGCTCGCGGTGCCATCTGCAGGACCATTAAAAGCATTCAAATGATTCAAAGTGCCAAATGCGAGTAGAATCAGCGCTGAAATGTGTTACTCGACCCGGTGACTTTTTATGAATGGCGGTGAGAATTTGAGATTGCTTAGTGCTGTCATAAAATTCGCAACGGTTGTGATGTAATTATATAATAGGCTGTAGTCTGACGTGCTACGTGTCTGCTTACAGTACAGTTTTTAGTTTCGATTCACTGTTAGTGCGTTTGGGAACGCAACATTCGTCTTTAGAAACGTTTATAATCTGTTGTTGTTTACAAAGAAGTTTCAGTGTCACATGATTCTTCAGAAATCATGCTAATATGCTGATTTGCTCAAGAAACATTTCTCATAATTATCAATGTTAAAAAACTGTTTTGCTGCTTAATATTTGACACCACTCTAATATTTGTATAAGATTTAATAGGCTGTAGTCTGACGCGCTACATGTCTGCTGTTACTGTACTGTTTTTAGTTTCGATTCAGTGCTAGCTGCGCTTGGATTGAGCCGCTGTAATTAGCATTTTGGACCGCAACATTTGTCATTAGAAACGTTTATAAATCTGTTGTTTACAAAGAGAAGTTTCTGTGTCACATAATCCTTCAGAAATCATTCTAATATGCTGATTTGCTGCTCAAGAAACATTTCTCATTATTATCAATGTTAAAAACTGTTTTGCTGCTTAATATTTTTGTGGAAACAATGATACCACTCAAACATTTGTATAAGATTTAAAAAGTTAATAATTTTATTCATCATGCATGAAAGTGATAAAAAGTGGGTAAAGACATTTAAAATGAGTTCTATTTAATAAATGCATTAACAAATATAATTAATATATTTGATAAATTAAAAAAATTATGCTGTTCATTAAACTTTCAATTTATCAAAAAATCCTGAAAAATAAAGTGCATCACCATTTCCACACAAAATATGAAGCAGCAAAATTGTTTTCAACATTGATAATAATCAGAAATGTTTCTTGAGTCAAATTAATTGTAATGATTTCTAAAAGATCATGTGACACTGAAAACTGGAGTAATGATGAAGATAATTCTGCTTTGCATCACAGGAAGAACATTACATTTTATAATGTATTCAAAGTGAAACCTTTTTTAAATTTGTAATAATATTTCACAATATTATTGTTTTTTTTTTTACTTTATTTTGATCAAATAAATTCAGCCTTGATGAGCAGAAGATATTTATTTCAAAATCATTAATAATTGTAATGTTTCCAAACTTTTGGCAGGTACTTCAATAATAATAACAATTATATTAATACTTTCTATAATATATTATATTGTTGTCATGATTATTAAATGCTGCTTTTGATTTTTCACAGGACAATAGTATGTATTATTACAATATAAGATATTATATTATATATATTATTTAATGTGCTAAAATATATTTTTAATAGTAAGTGCTGGGGGCGTGACTTGGAGCGTGGTCAGATTTTCCTGCTTTTTTGTCTCTAGCTGATCACATGCCTGAGCTTGTCTTTGTGGTAATTACAGTACATCGAGCAGGACATCCAAATGCTCACCTTTCATTCATCAACCTCAAATATGGCTTCATCTGAAATATGTTAGCAACTTTACATGGCCGTTTAATTTAATGTTAACAAAAATGTGCACTATTCAAGTGTCTGTGCGGAGTGTGGAAGCTGAATAGTATTGCTCGCTCACTGCATGACAGATGGAAGCGCCGATGTGGTCACTTGCTCTTAAAATACTTTTTTGTTCTTACAAATAAGAGTATCTGTAAAGTATCTGTATTTTGAATCTGTAAAGACTCCACGTTTATTTGTGTGCACTCACAATAACAACAAAACATTGCGCTTTTGTAAAATAATGGCAGGATGAGCTTTCTGCCGTCTTGGTCTCTGTGAACTTGAGCGCGAAACTCTGAAATTCTGTGTATACTTGCCTTACAGATGTGAAAAATATACACATATTGGTACCAAAAATTTTCGGTACGGGTCTTTCGTTTCGGTACGCATGTGTACCGAACAAATCGTTCCATTTTATTCAGGAAATTCAGACAATAAATGCCGTTTTGGTGCTCTTTGACATGGCATGACAGATCGCTGTATAAATGTCTCAGTTCTGACGGCAGCACGAAGCGCGAGTGAGCGTGATCATCCCTTCCTCTTTATTACTAGTTTTAACGCAAAATAAACATGAATTGACATCTCACTCCTCACGTAATCGCTCAATTAGTGTTTCAACTGCGGAAAGAAGTAATTAAAACAGCTTGTAAACAAAATGTCACGTAGCATTTCATTTACGTCAGGCAAGTCATCCGTGTCTACAGCTTGTTATTTGCTAGAGAAATGAAGTCTAGTGAAGAGCATTTTGCGAAATATTAGACTATATACTTCATTATATTTTACTTTACCTGTTAGTGATGTCTTAATTATGTAATGTATTTTCAAATAAATATTTTATGAAACAAGTTATGACAGCCACTCTGTAAATTATTATATTTCAATAACAAATAGAAATGGTATAATTTAGAAGTTAATTTAAAAACATGTTTGCATAAATTGTTTTATTTATTTGAGTGTTAATTATTATAGTTAAAAATAAATAGTAATTGAATTTAAGTTTGGGCTCTGTTGTTAATTGTAACCTTATAGTAATGTAAAAGGGCTCCCTATAGTTTAGAGCAGAAGCTGAGGTAAATTTTTATCCCTAAGAAAATTTTAATTATAATTGAATTTATTTAAAGAAAGAGCAATTTGTTCAGTAAACCATTGTTTAATAAAAAAACAAGGGCAGCCCTATGTAACAGTTTATGCTCTTCTCTGTTCAGACGTTGATTCTCCGTTAAACAGTCCACATGATGCTGTGCTGATAGACTCTTTGCTGAGTATGGATCAGTACCGTGGGGCTCAGCGGACGGCTTCTGGCCCTGATGGGAAGCCCATCGAGGATATCGCTGAGGTCGCTGCAGCAACAGACCTGATTCTGCCCAAAGGCAGCGCCAGGACCACTCTAACTGTGAGTCATTTACGCTCTTACTCGCAGGGACTGTTTAAAGCATGATGATTACAGATTTATTTAAGCAGTTGTTTAATTCAAGTGGTCTCACATTGTCTGATGACTCATGAATCCTTCCCTCTCAGAGTCGTTCCTCTCCTCCTGCTCTGCTGCACGGTTCTCTGAGGGAGTACCAGCAGATCGGGGTGGAGTGGCTGGCAAGCCTCCACCGCAAAAACCTTAACGGCATCCTGGCAGATGAAACTGGCCTTGGCAAAACCGTACAGACTGTGGCTTATTTTGCTCACTTGGCCTGCAACCAGGGTACCACCAGCAACCGCATTTACCAACTTTATAGAGACTATTACATTTGGTTTTCTTCGCAAAGCATTTGTTTATTGTAATTTTAAGAATAAAATGCAACACATTCTGCTGTCATGTGGATGTTGCAGGTATCTGGGGGCCTCATTTAGTGGTGGTGAGGACCTGTAAGCTGATCAACTGGGAGATGGAGTTCAAACGGTGGTGTCCTGGACTGAAGATACTCCTGTACCTCGGCAGCAGAAAGCAGCGCAGATACAAGAGATCGGTATGAACCAGAGAAAGCCAGCTAGCCTACTATGTACTCTCACATACTGCCACCTGTCTTATCCATCCCTGTTGCTGTGGTCTAGCTGTTAGTGCATCAGTTTTGCATTAGATAATTCCTCAAAGTTGTTTTCAAATCAGTTTGTAGGTCATTGAAATCTTTGATAATTGAGTTGGGTAGCTTTTGTCCAAGCCTTTGTCCATGTTTGTGTATGTTCTCACTTTCCCACTGTTGTCTTGTGTGTGCAGAGGTGGTGTGAGCCCAACAGCTTCCATGTGTGTGTGACTTCATACAAACTTCTGCTGAAAGATCAGTCTCACTTCCTGAGGAGGTGCTGGAGGCACCTGGTGCTAGACGAGGTGCAGCTCATCAAAAACATGACGGAGAAACAGTGGGAGACCATCTTCAACATAAAGAGGTTAGGAACAATGCAACTGTTTTCTATACAGTATCTGTTGGTGTCATGTTTTCTACATTTTTGCATTCAAGAGAATATTCACAGTAGATTTGGTAGATTTATCTTTTACAACAGCTGTTTACAAGGAATGCACAAAATAATAACACCATTAAAATTAATATTTATTTATAGCATTTAAAATGATTGATTTTTGGTTTTTAGCATTTTATTATTTTATTATATTATTATTTATATTATATTATCATTATATTATACCAAAAAGTATAGAAACTTGATATCCGCCATTTATTGGTTGATATGTGCTATGCATCCTTACTACTCTATCAGAGTTATTTTAGCATTATTTGTATATTATACTATTTATTAATGTTTTGAATTATCTTTTTTTATATTTTAAGTTTCAATTTATAGCTTCAGTTCATTTAGTTTTAGAATGTGTATTTAGCCCTTTTTATTTCAGTTTTAATAATTAAACATTCTTTCAGTCAGTGCAAAGGCAACACTTCTAATTTAAATTTTTCATCTTAATGTCTATATTTTGTTTTATTTTATTTCAATTACCAAAAATGCTTCATTTATAATAACACTATACTGTTACACAATACTTTGTATGTGTTAGGGCTGCCCCCGACTAAAGATTTTTCTGGTCGACTAGTAGTCATTTGAAGCATTAGTCGACTAATCGCACATTTATTAATAAATGATTTAAATCATAATAATGAGCCTTTAATTGCCTTCATAGCCTATGCGCTCAAGTGCATGCATAAGCTTGCCACAGCGCACCGGCAGAAGAATTATTGATTATGAATGTGTCAGGGAAAAACAGTAAGGAGGCTGTAGGCCTGTCGCAATAATCAATATATCGACTTATCGCGCAATATATTTACATACGTGACAGGCCTAGGAGGCTGCATTAACATTTTAATAATTCATTGATAAACTAGCGCTTTCTTTGTTTTCGGTTTAAGAGATGAAGTCGGTGACACTGACTCGTCATCTTTGCAGTAGTGGATGTGCCTGTATGCATGTTTCATACGGATTACATAATCTAAGAATATTTGTTTTCCATTTGAATTAGTTCATTTGAAAGTTGACATTTTGCTCTCTATAGATATATTTTTCATGTCTGTAAGACAAATATACATGGAGTTTCGCGCTCAAGATCACAGACTGAGACCCCAGAAAGCGCATCCGTTGCTTTCATTATTTTACAAAAGCGCAATGTTTTGTTTTTTTGTGAGTGCACAAAAATAAACGTAGAGTCTTTACAGATTTGAAAGATGTATTACTCTTATCTGTATGAGCAAAAATGAGGGAGTATTTTAAGAGCAAGTGAGTGCACCGGCGCCTCCATCTGTCATGCAGTGAAGCGCTACTGTTCCGCTTCCACGTTCCGCACAGACTCTTGAACAGCGCACATTTTTCCACGTTAACATTAGATTGAGCGGCCATGTAACGTTGCTGCTACTTACATATTTCAGATGATAAGCCATATTTGAGGTCGATAAATGATAGGCAAGCGTTTGGATATCCTGCCTGATGTATGTATTACCATAGACCAGCCGTTAACGATCTGAGTGACTTCGCCAATGTGGATTTTTATTTATTTATATATTTATTTTCTGTGACTAAGCGACTAATACAATTTTGGTCGGCCAAGCCTCTTCTGGTCGACTAACGGTTAGTCGACTATTAGGGTGCAGCCCTAGTATGCATTAATATATTGTAATTGATTTTAAGTAATCATGTTTTTTTTTTTCTCTGTCTTCTCAACAGTCAGCAGAGGATTCTCTTAATCAACACACCTCTGCAGAACACTCTGAAAGAGTTATGGACCATGATCCACTTCCTCCTGCCTGGAATCACTCACCCATACCTCAACTTCCCCATCAAACCCGGCACTGATCAGAACCAGGACTACTGCCACAAACTGGTCATCAGACTGCACAGGGTGAGGCTTGCTGGACGTTGTTTCTGGTGACTTTCACCACAGAATGATACACTTTTGCTTAACTATCTTGCTCGAGCACCACAATCGTAGTTTTGTTTTCTTCCTTTCTGCTGTAGATGATTCAGCCCTTCATCCTGCGCCGTTCCAAGAGAGACGTGGAGAAGCAAATGCCTAAGAAGTATGAGCACATTCTCAAGTGCCGTCTTTCCAAGAGGCAAAAGAGCATGTATGAGGACATCCTCATCCAGCCCAGGTCAGCACAGAACACATTCAGCCAAACACAATCTTAACCAGCTCTTTTCCAGTTCATCTGTTTTGAGTGATACTCTGCTTTTCTACTGCCTTCTAGTGCACAGGAAGCACTGAAGACTGGACATTTTGTCAGAGTCCTGGAGGTTCTTATGCAGCTGCAGAAGATCTGCAACCATCCAGACCTGATCCAGCCCAGAGACACACACAACTCTTACATATGTCAGTCACTGCAGTACAACACCCCATCATTACTGCTCACAGCCCTGCAGCAGGACCAGTGGAAGGTTAGGAAGATAAATAAACACTTGGATTGTGGAATATAGAAGAAAAATGTGTGTTGACTGATAGGCCATTTTCATTTTCTTTTCCAGACTGTAGATATGTCACTGTTTGACCTGATCGGTAACGAGGGCAGATTGACCCGTTATGAGGCCGAGGAGGCTCTGCCTAAACTCAGAATGACCAAACAGCTGATTGAAGAGATCTACAATGCACGCAACCCACCTGCCAGACCCAAACCATGCAAGATCAAACCTATGAGGTGTCCATCCATCCATGCAGACCTATCAGCTCTGAACACATACCTGCCATAATTATATCATATGGATTTCTGTAGTTTTATTAACGGGACATAATATTTTTAAATGAGACAAACCAATTAATACCACAATACACTGAAAATACTCATGTTGATGCTGCTGTTTTTACACCAAAAATTGTCACTTCCTTAAGAATAATGCATGAAATTACATTCTTGTTGAGTGAATAAACATGTTGCAGGTGTTTTTCTATTAAATACAAATGCAAACATTAAATGCTAAATGTTATTGTATCACCTAATTATGTTATGTATTCTTTTTTATTTTATTTTTCATTATGATGTGTACATGTACAACAGGATTGGTCCATATGAATTGATACTGATTGTGGCATAATTTTAATTTCAGGCTGTTCCTGCCGGTGCAGTATGGAACAAAACCAGAGGGGCACCTGGTCCCCATAACTAGCAGCACCACTCAAGCCCCTCGTGCCACTGCTGTGACTACTGCCCCCACCACCACTACCAACCCTGCTACTGCAGCTCTAAGCACACAGCCCAGAGGCAAATCACCTCTTACCACAACCACTTCTGCACAGGGTAAGACCCCTTCTTGTGGATCCCAGAACTGTTTCACAATCTGTAAGTTTTTGTGAAGTGGTATGATATTTTTGTAGTTGTGCTTCTTCCCTAAAAATATGCTCACGTCAGTTCTTTTGTGTGTTTGCTTTTTTTTTGGCCATCTTACTTAATGGTGACATCTGTAAGATTTATTTTATGTCAGAATACATTATCTTAAGCCAGTTTATTGTACATTAACTACTATAAGCATGCCATTAATGGGTTTATCTCTCCCAAAGGTGTAAACATTGAGCCTCCCAAGCACCATCAAACACATTTAGAGCGGTTGGTTCAGATCCGTCAGTCTTTTTCCAACTAAACCTGTAGCGAGAGTTTGGGTCATGGCTAGCCAGAGGGTGTTTACAATGGTTGTGCTTAAAGATTGGAAAAGAAATTTGGTTACAGAAGTGCAAGCCAAAATTCAAAGACTTGCCAAAATAAGCAGATACAGTGGGGTAAAACAAGGGTAAACATTGGCGGTGCTTTTGCAAAAATTTGATTCAATGTTTGGGTTTCAGTTGGGATGCCGAACTTATTGTAACTAATACAAAATTCCATTTCAAATAATACATTTCATAAATCTGTTTGCACGCTGCCCTTTAGCAAGTAAAAATAATAATTTTAATATTTTTTTATGCCTTCTGAGGGTTCAGTGAAAGCCCTAACCCCAGAATTTTCATTTTTGGGTGAACTATTTCTTTAAAATCACCATTAAATGGAAATTGCGATCAAAATGTAGGCTGGGACTTCATTTTGTCCATTGGGAATTGATTGGATTTTTGTCATTTGTTAATTGCTGTAATTATTTAATTGCTTCATTAAACAGCAATGTTCCATTAAAATAATAATCATAATAAATAAAACAATTGTCAGCTTTAATTTCATGGTGACTTCATGCAAGCACATGGCAATGCCCTGGCACTATAGCTGAGTTTTGCATAGACCTCTCACCACCAAACAAAAATCAATATTTTGTAATATTTTATGTCCCAAATAACTTTTTATTTAGAAGATTAAAAAAATGTAATCCTCCAACCCCATTACACTCGCTCTGATTGGTCCATTCAGACTAGGGCTGCACAATTAGTCAAATGCGATTGTCATTCACATCTTGTCAGTAAAGCCGGTTCTGTGATTAGTAGTAAATCTCCATCACCTGTTTTCAGATAAAAGTAAAAATACAACATTTAATAACATGTTTTTACTCCAAACTCACTTCATAACGTCAGTCGAGTGTTTGAAATAAATCCTTCTGTGAGATGATGTGGCTTCTTTTACACAGAATAAGGCACGCAACATATTTCATAGTATTCTAAGCAATGATAAAGGCTATGTCGATTAGCATTTCATTATAGATATACTTTATTATAATGAAAATTATAAGACAAACTCAGATAAACCATATATTGCCGTAGTCATGTGTTTATTAGTCACGTTGAATCAACGAAAGCATTTAAATCTTCTGTTTATTCAGCAACCCCCGGGTTTCTTCTGCGGGGCGTATTTGGAGTTTCCATGCGAGAGCGCCCTCTGGCCTTCAGATGGAGATTTACTACTGATCACAGAACCGTGCTTCACTGACAAGACACGCATGACAATCGCAGCTTCAGTCTAATCGCGATTTCGATTTCATTACAATTTATCGTGCAGCCCTAATTCAGACTGTTAACTCCTCTTCCTTTTTAGCCTCTGCAATCAGCAGCTCATCAGGATCACTCTTAACAGGAGCCACCCCTAACCCCCTTTCTACCCCTCTGGCTGTGGGTGTGACAAGGGTCACCACTATGCCTGCTGTGGTCCCCCATGCCCCTGCCGCCCACCCCCTCCAGCCCAGTTTGGTACCCCAGAGGCTGGTGCTCAGCTCCCAGGCCAAGGCACGCTTGCCTAGTAAGTGGCCTCATCATCACTCACCGCAGATGGGCCTTCTCCATTGCGCCCTCTCCCTTGTGCACCTGTTTCCTTCTTATCATGCCCCCAAGCACAGCAGTAAACGGCCTCAGTGAAGATCAGAGACTACAGTACGGCTCTGCTGAAGTGGGCTAACATGCATACAGACTTCCGCCAAAGAAACTAATGGTGATACTCAACTCAAATTCAGCCAAATCGACACCATAAAGTTGGCATATTTCCAGTCTGATTTGAAGTGCAGAAAATCTTCAGCAGATGACCTATGGTGGTTTCTCTCCTCACCCTTCACAAACAAGCATGAGCCCTCCAGAAATTTCTCCGGACTGAACCCGCTGCCTCCAGTTTATTCACGTCTTCTTTTTTTGATATTTATTCCCTTTTTCTTTTATTTTTTCCCTTCTGCATTTTGATGACTAATCTCTTTGTTTTTCGTGCAGTACAGCTGAAGGATGGTCCAGAAGCTTTTTAATATGGTTTTGCCTCCCTATCTTTTCACTGCAGCTTTTCTTCAGAGCCGTTTATTTTGTTGTCATTCTGTGGGTGTAAAGAGCGTCAAGCTTGTGGGCGCTGCTCCCCATGTCACATGCAACCATTGTTACATGGAAAACCTTTTATACAAGCAAAGATTTTCTCCCACTTTGTTTTGCTCCGCTAAACGAATCAGTCTGGTTTCAGTTTGTTTGTTACAGGTTTTTTGTTTGAGGAAAAAAAGTGTCATTCTTCCTGTTTAACACACCGTGGTTGTGCATGTCCCTTTCCGTGCTCACCCCGAAACTAACTAAAATGTTTTTTCCTTCTCAGAGATAAATTGTCAGCCACTATCATTTAACATTAGCTGTTTTCTACTGAAGGTGGAGATGTAGTGAAGGTTACTCAGTTGGTTGGGCAGGGTCGTATCGCCCAGCCAGAGACCCCTGTGACCCTACAGTTCCAGGGCAACAAGTTCACTTTGTCTCCGAGTCAGCTGCGGCAGCTCACCACCGGCCAGCCTCTGCAGCTCCAAGGTACACTCGGTAATGTCCAGCCCATATTCATCCTCTCTTTGTCTCATTTCACTTCCATATCCAGTCACTTGTGTCAGCTATTTTTATGTGTGTTCAGTAAATCCTCATTATATGGCTTAATGTGACGCTCATACGTTTATGTGTCTGCTTTAGGCAACATCTTGCAGATTGTGTCTGCCCCCGGACAGCCTCTTCTCAGGCCACAGGGGCCGCCCATGGTGATGCCTACTGTACCCCAGGCTGTGCCTGTACAGAACTCCTCAGGTACGCCACCCCCTGCCACCTCCACACCCCCGCAAGTCAGTCGTTCAACCATAATATTTGGAAGCTACGAAAATATCTTAAAGGGTTAGTTCACCCAGAAATGAAAATTAGCCTTTGTTTTACTCACCCTCAAGCCATCCTAGGTGTATATGACTTTCTTCTTTCAGACAAATCCAATTGGAGTTATGTTCAAAATTGTCCTGGCACTTCTAAGCTCCATCATTGCAGTGGGCAGGTGTTTCTGTTCAACAGTCCAAAACGCGTTAAATAAAGCGCGCACATCCATAATAAAATGTGCCTCACACGGCTCTGGGGGGTGAATAAAGGCCTCCTCTAGCTAATCCATGCGTTTTTGTAAGAAAAATATCTATACCTCAAATGTGATAAACACTTTTCTCTCACTTCCGGTATCTGTCATACGCAGAAGCCGTTCCGGCTTTACATTTCACATTTAAACTTCAGATGCAGCATCTGTGTTTCCTTTGCATTGTAGATGAATTTTATTGATACTGATTTCATTTGCTTGGTAACAGCCCAAAGGTCTTATTATTCTAATTCACTGATTAAATGTAAGAATTTGACTCAAAAGATAATGCATACTTTTAGAAAAATTGCTTTATAAAGGTAAAAATGCCCATAAAAGGTACAAATCAATTTAAACTTGGGAAAGATTAATTTCTATCAGTGTGAACTGACCACCACAGAATATGAAGAATATCAAAAACTTCAGGAGTCAGCTGTCCACAGCAGTCCTTAAGGTACCAGCACAATAACACAATCAGCAAAATATCTAATGTCTTTGTCTAATTATCGTTATCGATTAAAAACCCAGAAAATATTGAGATATTATTTTTTGTCAGTATCGCACACCCCTAGGACCCCATGTAGGCTAGGAAATTTCTGCTACTTGGTTGTACCTGCTTGTTTTCAATCTTTGTTTTTTAATTATAGAAACTGAGTTGCAATATATTCAAATAATTTAACATTAATGATAATTTAATTTCAAAGGATTTAAGGACAGTTTGTTCTTCAGGGTTTACATGCTTTATTCCTAATAAAATTGTTTTTTTTTTTTACAATAAACATTTCTCTCTTTGTACCTAATGAAATATTTTAGAGCTTGGCTTAGCTTGCCAAAATTTTATAGAAATTATCATAACTTTTAAGATTTTATTTTATAATTATTTTTAGGTCTAGAAATAACACTTTCAAAATTTTAGTCTTCCAAGACCATGGGTCCCCTTAAAATTCTGCTAAGGCCCCCTAGTGGTTCCCAGCCCACTGGTTGAGAACTATTAACCTAAGAATGTGATGTTCTAATGCTGTCTTAGTTAATTCAAACTTAAGTTTCTGTGTTTCTGTCCGTTTCCATTAAAGCAAGCACCACAGTCACTCAAGCTACCACAGCCATGGAAACAAATGCTAAACACTCAACAAATGCCATAACACAGGTAGGTGATTTTGAAAGACATGTTGAAGGAATTGATGAAGTCAATCAAATAGTTCTGAAATCTGAGCCTGGTCTTTGTGTCTAATTAGGAGTCAAGTGAGGAAAGAAACAGGCAGCTGAAAGAGCGTCTGGCTAGTTTATTTCATGCCAACGAGCGGCGGTCCTCACGCTCTGTGATGTATGGTTCTGACCTGATCAAGACCTGCTTCGTTTATGAGGGACACCCTCCACCAGCCTTCCCCGCACCCCAGCACTCCCGCTGGTCCTGGGTCGGCAGAGACAGCTGTATTAGGGCTCAGCGGACTTGTGTGTCCACGGTGGCCCCACTCCGCTCAGCGATTCTCTCCAACACGGAGCAGGAGGCAGCAGCAGGCACCTTGTTGAAGAGGTCTGGATTTGACGATGTACTCCTTTCCATGAAAGCAGTTTTGTGAGCTTTTTGTGATCTAATGCTGCTTCCTGTTATATTAAAGGTTTTCCTGCATACTTCCTGCTGCTGTGGCCCCTCCCCCTCAGCTGTATGCGTCCAATCTTCCACCATCTTACAGCCTTGCACAAAAATCATTCAGGCGACAGCTACAGGAAGTGTCCGCTCCACACAACGCAGAGATCCGTAACTTAGCCTGTCCTCCTGTCGTCAGATTCCCTGATGTGCACATGTTGGAGATGGATTCAGGTGAGCGCCACAACAGCACCTCAGCTCTGTTACATTCAGATTTAAATTTCACAAATATTACTGATATTCAGTTAAGCATACTATTGTATGTTTCCCAATATGGTATCCTCTATCCATCATAGAGCTACGATTCTGTCCTTTACAGTACCATTCAGAAATTTTGGGTTGGTAAGATTTTTAAATATTTTTAATGTAATATTTTATATACTTTGTACTTAAATGTTATGTTTTAGATTTTTTTAAATACCTCTATTAAGCAAGGACATATTAAAGTGATTAAAATCACATTTAAGACCATTTTTTTTTCTTTTGAACTTTCTATTCATCAAAAACATCCTGCCAAAAATGGAATGTAAAAAATTATGGTTTCCACAAAAATATTAAGCTGTTTATAATATTTTTCAATATGTTTTAATATGTCATATTATTATTAATGTTTTCAACATTGATAATAATAGGAAATGTTTTTGAACACCAAATCAGCATATTAGAGTGATTTCTGAAGGATCATGTGGCACTGATGCTGAAAATTCAGCTTTGTCATCACATAAATTATCCTTTAAAATGTATTAAAATAGAAAACAGTTATTTTAAACTGTAATACAATTTCACAATGTTAAAAAAATTTTTTTTTAAATAATTACTGACCCCAAACTTTTGAACGGAAATGTATGTGTTTTATTTGTCGGCTTTATAATTTATAAATATCAGTATAAAGTATAAAGCAACTTTTACAACTTGTTCTGGTCAAGAGTTGCCCATGTACATTCCACTTCCTGTCTGAGCTGGATAATATCACAACAATAGAATGCCATTGTAAAAAATAATAATAATAACTAGGGCTGCACGATAAATCGCATGCGATATTTAATGCGCATCTTGTCAGAAAGCCGGTTCTGTAATCAGCGGTAAATCTCCATCACGTGCGTGCTTTCACATTGAGCAGCATTAACTACACAGAGCCGTTCACCGACGAGCTGCGCAAAACCACGTTCATATTCGCGCGATTTTTTGCGCAGCTCGTCAGTGAACAACGGCTTTGTGTAGTTAATGTAAGCACGCACGTGATGGAGATTTACCACTGATTACAGAACCGGCTTTACTGATAAGATGCGCGTTAAATATCGCATGCGATTTATCGTGCAGCCCTAATAATAACAATTTAACATGGCAATCAGAGTCTCCAACCGGCTGTAAAAAAGTACTAAATAAAACTGGTTTAATAGTCTAAATTTTGATGTTCCTGTATCTGTTTGCAGGAAAACTGGAGGCGCTGTCTATCCTGCTGCAGAAGCTGAGCGCTGAGAACAGGCGTCTGCTGATCTTCACCCAGATGGCCAGCATGCTGGATATACTGGAGGCCTTCTTAGACCATCGTCACCTCACCTATGTACGGCTGGATGAGAGTCTGTCACTAGAGGAGAGACAGGTAAAACACATGGAGTAACATTCTCTGTTGCCCTGGCCAAGTCCATGTCCCATTGAGGCTGTGTGGGTTTCTGGGCTGTAATTAAAAGGGCAGATTAGTGAGCGCTCTTCCCTCCCTGTTGGATTCAGTTCCACACGGGGCCTCAAATGATGCTTACATATCAGTGAAGTGCTATCAACACATAAACATCTCATCTTGATCATCTTGTACAGAAAATGCAATACTTAACCCATCTTGTTCCTCATGTCCCGACCACTTTCAGGAGCGGGTCAAGAGGTTTAACCGCAACCGACAGATCTTCTGCACCATCCTGACCAATCGCTGCTGCTCAGCCATGGGCCATGTGTTTGACGCAGACACCATCGTGTTTTACGACACAGACCTAAATCCCAGCATGGACTTGCGCACACAGGAGTGGTGTGACAAGATCCGCCGCTCCAAAGACATCCACATCTACAGGTAAGACTGATGGGTTAATTAAATGTTTTTGCTTGTCAGGTTTATATTTGTCAGCTTTTTTACTAACGCTGTGCTCTGTCAGGTTGGAGAGCGGGAACTCAATTGAGGAGAAGCTTTTAAAGAATGGCACTAAAGACCTTATTCGAGAGGTAGCTGCACAGGGCATGGATTACACTCTAGCCTTTTTAACACAGGTAAGCGCACATGCAATAACTGTTACTTTTGACATTGAGGGACTGTTTCAAAACCTAGCCAGATATGAGGTTGCGTTTCAGTAGAGAGAGGCAGCTCTCTAGAATTTGGAATGCTCACATTATAAATATGTGCTGGATTTTCACAGCGCACCATTCAGGATCTGTTTGAGGTGGAGGCTGGTTCTGGAGAGAAGGTGGAGGAGTTTGTGGTTCTCCACCAGGAGCCATCCCCGTCCGAATCTATCCCCCCTCATGTGGCCAGACCCTACATCCAGGCCCTGAACACCATCCGAAAGAAAACCCAATATGAAGATGAGGTCGAGGAGACAGAGGTAGACATGAAAAGTGAGAAAGTGGGAGGACAAGAAGAGATAGATGTGAAGGAATGGGTGAGAGAGGAGGCGTCACAGTTAGAGGAGTTGGCGGCAGTCATGGAGCAGGTGAGGTTATTGAAATTGATAGAAAATGTTACTTAAAAATTTAATTGTTCTCGTATGTGCTTTTTATACCATGCAACCATAAACTTTTGGTTTTGTGTTACGGTATTTAACATGCAAATTCTGTTCATTTAACTTTATACACTGTGTTTTTTGAAAGAAACCAGTACAGCTCCTAAATCATTTCTTATCGATGTTGAAAACATTTGTGCTGCTTAATATTTTTGTGGAAGATGTAATAATTTTTTTCAGGATTCTTTGATGAATAGAAAGTTCTAAAGAACAGCAATTAAATGAAATAAAAATATTTTGTAACATTATAAATGTCTTTAGTGTCACTTTTGAACAATTTCTCCTTGCTCAATAATAAAAAATAAAAACAATCTTCTGAATAAAAAAAGTGGTTCTGACCACAATTTGTGGTGTTTTGTCTAGCTGACTCCTATTGAGAGATACGCACTGCACTATCTGGAGTACTTGCACAACAGTGAAGATGAACAGGTTATAAAGGTATGAAACATTTTTACATATTACAATTACATGTTATGACCGCCATGTAAATAATACAGAATGTTTAATTGTCAATGTTTGTGTGAATTGCAGGAGCGCATAGAAGCTGCTAAGAGAGGCTGGGAGCAGCAGCAGCAACAGAAACTAAAGGTAGAGAAAACGGAGCAAATGATCCTAGAAGATGAGGAGGATCTGTTCACCTATACCAGAGAGGATGCATACAACATGGTACAAATATATTCTAATGTTATTTTCAGTAGGAAGTGATGTCATGTTGTGTAGATTTGATACCCTGTTCCCTTCCACTTTACAGGAGTATGTGTTCGAGAATGAGAATGAACAAACAGAAATAATGCCAGTAAGTTTAAGACTGCACATTCCTGAAGAGAATTAAAGGAAGAATTTTGGTTGAATCTCCCAAAAACATGTCTATATCACATTTTACTCCAAAAAAGTGGAGTAAATTTTTTTTGCATAATGAATGAATGTAATGAGATAAATTAAGATGAAAATGTGCTTATTATCAAAAATAATGTTCCAATGCCAACAATCTAAAGGGTAGCTATATAAAGCTAAATACATTTTTATTTAATGTGTTTATTTTGATTCTGGGGTAAAATTCTTGATGAGTTCGGTGAGAGTCACCCCTGTATTTATTTTAAAATGTATGAAAATTGGTTCATAACTCTTACTATTGCTCTTTTCTGTAGCTGTGGACTCCCCCAACTCCTCCACAGGATGATAACGATATCTACATTGACTCTGTAATCTGCCTCATGTATGACACTGCGCCTATGCCCGAATCCAAACTGCCCCCAGTCTACGTCCGCAAAGAGCGCAAGAGACACATGGACCCGTCAGGTAAGACTGCTCAAGAAACGCTTTCAGTCTGAACTTACTGTGCTTAAACACATGCTAAATTCTCTCTTTTTCTCTCTCTCCCCCCCTCTTGTCAGTTCTGGGACGTAAGAAAAAGAAGGGCCATGGAGAATCAGTGATTCCTCCACGCTCTCTCTTTGATAAGGCCAGTCTTCTCAAAGTAAGGAGGGAGGGTAAAGACCAGAAGAAGAACTTCTCTCTGAAGCAACAGGCTCCCTTTGCCAAACCGCTGCCCTCACTGCTCAAACCAGCCATGGAGGCTGGGCAGGACAACCCTGAGTGGCTCATCAGTGAGGATTGGGCCCTGCTACAGGTACTTGATCCATCACGTTATTGCATTATCACTGCCTATGTTTAACCGCACAGTTGTGTGTTAAATGGATAAGCTAAGATTGTAATTCTGCCTTTTTTTTCTGTTCACAGGCTGTGAAGCAGTTACTGGAACTTCCTTTGAACCTGACCATCGTGTCTCCAGCACACACTCCTAACTGGGACCTGGTGAGCGACGTGGTCAACTCCTGTAGCAGAATTTACCGCTCGCCAAAACAATGCCGTAACCGCTATGAGAATGTCATCATTCCCAGAGAGGAGGGCAAAGTGAGTGATGTACCAGGATCATGTGGTTGTGAATTCTTTTATTAATTTTTTTTTCAACATTTTCCTTGTGACGTAATTATACAAACTGTCCTACAGTTAATATATGAAGCTAACCCTAAGAAGAACAAGACCAAGAGCATTTATAAGGTATTTAAAAAATAATAATAATTCAGCACATATTATTAGCTGTTTCCTTGGTAACACTTCCTTTTTTGTGTAGTCCAAGAATAGTCGTCCTCTGCGCACGTGTCAGATCTACACACAGGATGACAACGCCACCCAGATCCAGCTGTTCAACAACCGCTTTGAGCTGATGAAAATCATTGCTAGCAAGAGGAGCCCACCCATAAGACCACTGTATGTGCAGGCAGTGTCCAACACACAAACATTGCATTTACATTCTGCCAGAATGCTTTCATCAAAACAAAAAAAAATTTTTGGTGTTTTTGTTTCTAGACTGGGCATGAATCCATTCCAGAAGAATCCTAAGCATGCCTCTGTGCTGGCTGAGAGGTATTGACTCTTGACGTGTTACTTTGCTTTTACAAAAAAGCCCTGTGACAAAAAAGTGATCTGCTTCAGGGCTGTACAGTGCGACATATATGTCGCACGTGCTACAAAAAACGGTCTGTCCGATGAATAAATATACCACTGTAGCACACGTGCGATACAGTTTTGCATGTTCATAACACAGCCGCTTAATAGTGTGAAGTGATTTCGTTGTGCTTGTGTGTGTGTGTGTGTGTGACATGGATTATACTTGGTAATTATGGGTGTGCGATATGACAATTTTTGATCGTGGACGATTAAAATGTCTCCACGATCTGCTTTTGAAGGAATATCTTAGTATCGTGCTACAGCGCACATTCTATCAGATGCTGTTCTACTTCACAAAAGTACATTATTTGCATCTGCTTAAACATCTAATTCACGTGCTGTTCTGAGATGCGTTTTTTTCTGAGCGCATATAGCCTACACATAAAGCGCGCGCACGCTACACACTGAAACAGTGCCTGATTACTAGACTAAGTTGTCTTTCACGTCTGATTGATTTTGCATCTAATACTGTCAAAAACACACAAGGTTTACATTTTGGTTGTCTAAAATGAAAGTTAACCGTTGAGAGAGAAACGCATGCGTTTTGGATACTGTCCCTTTTAAAGGTACTAAACATGGTGCCGCTTGTCATTAAAGGAATAGTTCACCCAAAAATTGAATTTCTGTCACTATTTGCTCACTCACATTGTCCCAAACCTGTATTAATTACTTTCTTGTGCTGAACACAAAATAAGATATTTTGAAGAATGTGGGTTACCAAACGATCTTATTTTTTAATAGACCCTTTTCACATTTCCGGGTTTCTCAGCAGCGGAAGTCGTCATAGATGGGTAAATCTATAGTGGTGAATGGGAGACTACCCCAAATGTAAATATGTTTTTTGCATTCCCATTTGCTCAAATAGCAAAAGAAAAACTCCATGATAATTTTTTCATGACTTTCAAAAAAAAAAAAAAAGAGAGAGACTGACAATGACAGTCAGAAGAGAGAACAAAGTCAAATTTACTGTCACTCCTATAGACACAGTATTAGAAACACCCTCACATTAGCGTTAATTCGTTTTTTGTAATTATAACAAAATATAGTGTTATAAATGTACATACATTTAAAAAAAAAAAAAAAAAACTTTGGAGGATTTATGATACTGATGACCGTTGAAACGCGTCATCACAGTCTTGTGAAAAGGGTCCATAACAAAGATACAATACTGACAAGGATTTTTATCTTCGCCCACTTTGGCCTAAATGTCTGCCATTCTTTTTATTTTATATTTTGTTGAGGTGTAGGAGGTGTTATGTTTCTGCACTCTTCCATTTTTAGCAAATAAAGAAAAATGTTCCTCGTACATAACAGATTGTTTTGTTTAAAACAATTTTTGTGATGGTTTGTATTTTTTGTGCTCTTTGGAACATCAATGTCTGTTTAAGTGATGAACTCTATTACTTATGTTTGTTTTCAGACATGATAACAGACGTTTTATACTTGTGCTACAACTTTTTGGCCTGTGCTACAAAATTTTCAACCTCTGTAGCACCAGTGCTATGTGCAAAAAAGGTTAACGTACAGCCCTGTGCTTCCAATATTAGCTAGCTTGGAAATTTATCATTAAAAAAAATAATAATAATTTGGCTGATACAATCTTTAATATATTGTACATCTTTAGTCACATTTGATATTCATTTGAGGTTAAACAGCATCTCATTCATTCTTTCTTTCTTGATTCTTGATCCCGTGATTTATAGCGGGATAAGCTACGACAAGCCTCTGCCTCCTATCCAGGTCGCCTCTCAGAGAGCTGAGAGAATCGCTAAAGAGAAGAAGGTGAGATATAAGTAAAATAAGTATAATAAATAAAAAGTGATTTTTTTTTTTTTGCATTTTTATTTATTATATTGAACTCTTCTCTCTTTTCCTCCATCCTCTGCTGCCATAGGCACTAGCCGAACAGCAGAGGGCTCAGCAGTTAGCCCAGCAACAACAGCAGCAGACTACAGGAGCCGCCCAGCCTCAGGGAGCTGCTGCCCAGCCACAGGCCACTGCAGCAGCCACACAGGCGGCGGGAGTGCCCCAGCCCAACCAATCCGGAGCAGCAGCAGTCCCCAACACCGCTGTACTGGTTAGACTCCTTCAGCACTGCATGTTTAATATCACACTGGACCTTACGTACACCTGTATTTAGCTCTACATTACCCAAGATGAAGGTCTAACTCATTTCTATATTACACTTATATTATTCATGTTTGCACAACTGTTCCAAAATTTGGGTTCAGGAAGATTTTTGTAAATATTTTTGAAAGAGGTTTCTTACACTTACTAAGACTATGTTTATTTGATCAAAAATACAGTAAAAACACTAATAATGTGAAATAATATAGTTTAAATGGTAATATTACAATTTAAAAATTTTATATATATTTATATAAAATGTGATTTGTTCCTGTGATGGAAAAGCTGAATTTTCAGCAGCCATTACTCCAGTCTTCAGTGTCACATGAAACCAAACTAATAAGCTGATTTTAAGAAACATTTCTTATCATTATCAATGTTGAAAACAGTGGTGATGTTTATTTTTTTAATGTAAACCTTGATGTTTATTTCAGGATTATTTGATGCATAAATGATGCAAAGAGAGCAGAAGAAAAACAGAGTCTATTTGACTTAAATCTTTTGTAAAATTAGAAATGTCATAATTGTCACTTTTGATCAGTTTAATGTGTATTAAACTAGTATTTAATACACATTCAATTATTAATTTCAGTAGAAAAAATCTTACTGACCCCACATTTTTAAACTGGTGTATTATATAGTAAGGTATAAGGCTATATGATGTTGATCTTATTTGGGTATTGTTGATTCTCAAGACTGGAGCTATCAAGACCGCTGCAGTGGGCACAAGCATCCAGCCAGGTATTACAACTTTTGCCTGTACTTGTTGATCCAGTTGTGAGTGCTGTTTATATAAGTGCTGATCTATGTATGTTTCTGTTTTAACTTCAGCAACAGCTACAGTAAGTGGAAATGTGATTGTAAACACTGTGCCTGGAGTTCTTCCTGGTCAGTTCCAGGCGAACAAACGTCTGGCGTCTCCTGTCATACCTGTGAGTTCTGATCTTACACAGATATATAGATTAGCAGCTGATTTGATTAGTCACAGCAGTGCCTGCAGTGTGACATGAAGTCCACATTGAAAGTGTAGAATACAAAATATATTCAGTTTGATCTGTTATTTTGTTGTGAAATTGCTTTTCAACTGATTTGTAACATTCTGTCCTGTTTATGTGTGTTAAATATTTGTTTCCTCAAACAGACGGCAGGAACTGCCACGGCTCAGGTGGTTCACACTCAGCAGAGAACTGTGCCTGCAACAGCGGCCCCAGCGGAGGTTGTTGCCATTGCGACGGGTCAGAGCGTTAGAGCCGTTACCCCAGTGACGGCATCAGCTGTAGTGTCCACTAATCTGACTCCTGGTCAGTCCCAAACACGCACGCTGGTGGCTCCAGGTAGACCAAATACCATCCTTAGAGAAGCCATGCGTGTTTTGGGTTCTCTGGTGGCAAAATCAATTCAGAGTCACACTTCCGCATTGTTTTTGTGTAATCATATCTAGCTGGATAATCTCCCATCATTGTATTCTTAATCCATTGTTTTTGCTTCTCTAGCTCCCGGGATGCAGTTGTCTCAGGGTAAACCACTCACGCCAGCTCAATTCCAACAATTACAACTCAGACAACAGTTGCAGCAGCAGCAACAACAACCACAGGCTGCATCTCCACAGATCAAAGCAGTAGGAAAGCCACAGCAGGTACACACACTATTAGTATGGAGGATGCCATATTTGTTTTGCTTTTGCTTACCTATACTGAGGTATTAATATGGTGAAGGATGTCTAAATGCAGTTACAGTATTGCTCAATGTGTTTCTCAACCCATGCTCCATGTTGTTTTTTGACATTTCCAGAGTTAGCCCTTATGTTTCCAATTGTAATTAATCATAACTACAGTTAACAGTTGCAGTTGACTGATATGTTGGCCAAAATTGGACATTTTAGCATTACCTGGTCTATATTTGAGAAATTATTCTCAGTGGATTTAGATTTACCAGATGACTGATTTCACTGTTGCTTACAGTTTAGTTCCTTTTTAGTCATGTTTTTAACTATTTCTGTATTTGTGAAAAATTATATAAAAATGATTTGAAGTGTCAAAAGTATAAATTGTGTATAAAAAAAGTATAAATGTTATTTTATAGGTTTATTTTTTCATCAGTTTTTTGATTAGTTTTTTTAATATTTCCAATCTAATAAATATATGTAAATAAATGAAATTGCAGTAGCATTGGAATGTAATGCCATGTATATCAGCTTTATATCTGCCATCAGCCACCCTACTCTCAGCGTATTGTATCGTCCATCATAAAAAAGTTACATATTGACTTTATACATACGTTAATGTTAACATTAGGTTAGTCATTAGTCATTACATTAGTCCCCAGAATGTGTCTGTGAAGTTTCAGTTCAAAATACCTCACAGATCATTTATTATATGATTTTGAAAATGCCTATTTTTAGTGGAAGCAGAAACACGTGGTTTTCATGCATCTTTTAAATGCAAATTAGCTGCTGCTCCCCGCCCCCTTTTCCAGAATAGGTCTGTGCCTTTACAGCTTGTACCTCAGATACTGTCAAAAAACATCTGTTTGGTTTTTATTATCGTGTCTACCGTGCTGAAATCGTGTGTTTTAAAGCCATATCAGTTTAAACTTCTGATATACGATTTTCTGAGCGCACACATCCGAAGCACATGCACAGAAAACGGCTGTCACATGGCATGTGAGTACTAAATTAAGTTGTCTTTCATGTCTTATCGAGATTAAACTGTGAAATACACACAAGTTAAAACACACGTAAGTTACAAAAACAGTCATTTATGTCTGTGAAGGTAAACAGCTGGGAAAGAAATCACATTAGATCTGTTTTAAGTGATAGCAGCGTAATAGGCCTATATAGTATCTATACTGCTGTTAATATGAGACAACCAATAAAATAAAAACGGAAAATCACTCACTGCTCTGAACTGAATAACTTCTGTAGCTTTAATAAGAAGACATTTCTTACTTGAATGCTGCTTTTAAATGCTTTAGCGTGAAGATAAACATGGCAGATTGTGTGTGGCTCACTCAGGGTGGGGTCTCCGCTAATACAGCAGTGTCCGTCAACAGTGGTGCGTGGGGCTTGTAAAGTGCGATGTCACATTTTACAGATTTTGTGAATGTCTTGTTCTGAGACACTGCTTATGATTTATGGGGATTTAAAAAAAAAGAAGGATTTTTATAATTATAGGGTGGTTGTGTATACAAACTACCAACACACATTTATGTTCAAACAACATGTAAAAGTGAATTTTGCATAATAGGTGACCTTAAATGTTTCAGCAGCTAAAAAAACACTTTCATTTTATTTTGAAAAGTGGCCAAAAACAAAGAAAAAGCTTTCTCAATAAAGCCATTAGTCTTGTTCTTTAGAGAGATAAAAGCTATTTCATGCATGAGGGCTTTACATAAATCATTAGACAAGAGAATGAAAGAAACCTCTGTCTGTGGTGTTGTTGTTGTCAGAATAGCTTGATCGTAGGTTTAATGCGCAGTGACCTACGAGCCAATCACACCTACAGAAAACATTCAGTTAAACCACCTGAATCTTAATAAACTCACCGCTTCAATGCAGAAAGTCAGCGCAAGTCTCAGGGAGTTTGAAAAATATAGTGATTAGTAGTCATTTGCAAATATCTGCTTATCTCTATGTTCTCTCCAGGAGTTGTTGAAGAAGCAGAAGCTGCAGATGGCCCAACAGCAGGTTGCAGCGGCGGTAGCTGCAGCTCAAGGTCAGCAGGCTTCATCTACTCAGCAACCGCAGCAGGTTCACGCCACACCGGCAGCTACGTCCAACCCTCAGATAGCTGCAGTCGCTGCGCCCAGAGCAGGAGCTGTGCTTGCTGGAACTACCGTCACCAACTTACAGGTGGCCAGACTGGTAAGCACATACATACACACCCAGACTAACCCTTTCACATACACTTGAATGCAGATTAACTCTTTATATGCCTTTTCATTCAGACACGTGTCCCAGCCCCTGGACCCATTCAGGCTCAGCCGGGTCAAACCGCTCAGGTGACTCTGACCAAACCACCTCCTGTCGTCTCAGTTCCTGCTGTGGTTTCGTCCGCCGGAGTCACGACTCTTCCTGTCACTGTGGCTGGCATTAGCGTTGCCATTGGGCAAGCACAGAAAGCAGGTACAGACTGAAACGAGGAGACTGACTGAAAAAAGGGTTTACACTGACTAGTCAGTTCGACTAGACTCTAGCAGTGTCGTTACACATTACACATCTCCTCTGGAATCAAACAAATCTAAATAGAAATTAACAAAACATAATAAAAGCATAACGTAGTAATAAATAATATAATCATATATATACTGATGACTAGATTAGTCATGGCTTCGTAAGTGCTTATTTTGTACCTATTATTCCATATATTTGGTCAAATATATCAAAGGTGATCCCAGAGTTCCCAAGTAGGGCTGCACGATATTCATCAAAATAAAATCAATGGAGCAATATGGCTTTCTGTGATTATCAAATTGCACAGGCTGTGATTTGATTAAATTAATATATAAACACTTAACTGGTTTCAAACTTGCTATTTATGCGTTTAATTTGTCAAAAACTGGGGGCATGTGGCCTGTGAATCTCTAAGGGATTAGACATTTCACTAACTTATTGTGAAGCACCCTAAACCTAATCAATTATCAGACAGAGGCTTACAAAGACTGTAGTGAATGGTGAAAGACTGTTTATTGCAGCATTTCTGACCATGAATCAACAGTGGAGAGGCTTGCTTTCTTTACTCGCCTACATCGTCTCCGTGTCAGTAACAACCCTTTAGGGGCTCTTGTAGACTGAAGCGTGTGTGTTTTTGTGCAGGTGGTCAAGTGGTGACCCACCCGTTCCAGGTGCAGCAGGTTCAGCAGCTGTTGCACAGACAAAAGCAGCAGGCAGCCGCACAAGCCGCTGCGGTCCAGAAGGCAGCACAGCCACAGCAAACACAGGCTGCGGTACAGCAAAAGGTACCAATCAGCCAATGTGATTTATTTTTAAATGGAGCATTATTTGTGTAAATGTGTCTTCAACCCCTCTCTCCTTTCTCTCTTTATCTCTCTGTTCAGCTGGGCACGCAGCAGGCCGCTCAGACCACAGCCCAACAGCAGCAGAAAGTATACACCGCCACCACTCCACTTCAGCCCGCCATTAAGACCCAGTTCTTCGCCACCTCCATCGGACAGCCACAGAAACCTCCTGCAGCACAGCAGATACAGGTAAGAAGTTAGGCTCTAACAGCCAGCACCTCTCTAGCATGCGCTCAAGTGCAAAGCCTGACATGTGGTGTGATCAGAATGCAAGTATTTTGATGTGCAGTGCCATGTAGGGGTGTGCGATATATATCGTCTGCGATAATATCATAATTGTTGTGTGATTTTGACATTGAGTATTCTGCATTCAAAACACCCCTACACTGTGCACGCATATATTACGTGAAGTCTAGACTAATGCGCGTGTGCATTTATAGTATGTTCTTTCACTGCATGATTCAGTCTATTAAAATACATTTAGAATGATCACAAAATTCAAGATATGGGGACAGAAAATGTATATATTTATATCATTTCATATAGTTAATCAATATCATACAAAGAGTGCCGTTTTTTCTCCAAAAATTACCATGATTACAAATGTAATATTGATTGATAAAAGAATTTTTTTCACAACAGTTCAATAAACAAGAAGTTAATTAAGAGACTTGCGTTTTAGATACCATGTTGCCTGTTTTTGCGCTATTTCGACAACATAAATAATTCCAAACACAGCCACAACCACAACGCTGTTTTGCATCTCTGAGCAACATGACAGCTTTTCATTCCCGAATGAATCAGTGGTTTAAATGATTCGGTTCAATCGCAATGACTCACTTATTAACAATGACTTGCTGCCACCTGCTGGCGGTTTTAGGCCATGTCCACACGTACACGGGTATTTTTATAAACTTCGTTTTTCCTTCTTTCGTTTTTAACAAAAATCACTGTCAAGAGCATGCCAAACCAACAGGTGGTGATATAATCTCAACCATAAAGCCATGCTGGCCAATCAGAAGCCTGAAAAAGTCTCCAGTAGGCGGAGATATATGGGCTTACATTTCTGCCACAATTCTGAGCGCGAAATATCATATTTTGAGCGCACAAAAGTGCATTTTGCACACGCGCGATCTGAGTTTGTGGAGAAAATGTTCGTTTCGCAAAGAAAAAAGTCTTTAGAGCGCACGGAAATCAATTTTGCATTTAAAATAAGTTTTTGGATGTGTGCAGACCTTCTCTTTTGCGCGTGCAACGTTTCACTAG